TTTTCGTCTCTGATGAAAAGTGCTGCTGTGAACATTTCTGTATACCTCTGCTGTATCCATCTTGCTGCGGGAATAGAATATGTGTATCTTCCCTTTGGGTAGAGGACTGCAGACTGTTTTTCTCAGTGGAGGCAGCAAGTTAACTATCACCTGCAGTGTATTGGAACGTCATCTCTTCATCTTGTTGCTTCTAGAGTTGACCCCACCTATTATACTCTTAAATTTGACTCAGTAACTTCATTTCCACCATTTTTAACTGGTGTTTGTTCATACCCACCTTATCTAGTTTTATTTCTCTCTTCTTTTGCTTCATAATTTCAGGGCCGTTTTTCAAAAATGGAAATCATGCCTCAATTTATCTCTCTGAATTCTTCCAGCACTGACTTATTTAAAGTCCTTGTCAGATTAAAGTGACTTCTCTTCCAGCTATTAAGGCTTGTCGACTGATTTTGTGATAATAGATTTCTTCATGTGTTTTGGACTTTTTACTTCCCGTCTCATCTTCTATTAAGCCATAGCGTTTGTCAGCAAATAGTTCTCCGTAGGCAAGCAGGAGAGCGCCACCTAGCACCTGGCTTCGAGCACTGAGGCTGATACTATTCCTTGTCTTTCGCAAGCAAGCCACATTGGACCCCTTTCCCTTGGAGGAGCTGGCTCCTGGCCCCCACTCCTGCTTCCTGACGCATACAGAAAACTGAAGCAGAACCTCCTATGCTTGTGGTCTCAACCCCTGCTCAGTTGTGCATTTCTGTTTCTGTATCCCTCGACCGCTGCTCTGCGTTTGAGTCAGCATGTGGTGTTTTAGTGTTCCCTTTTTACATTTTGCCCTGTTATCCTCTGTGTCTAGAACAGAGAGAGGGGATTTTTAAAGTGCAAACTTACCATTTCTGATGTGGACATCACCAAAAGAATTCTTTTTTTTTCCTCCCTCCTCCTTGGCATGTGATTCATCTGGTCCTGATACGTTAACCTCTGTAGGTTCCTATTTTCATTATCAGTAAAAAGGAATTGGGACACATGATCCTTGAGTTGTTCTAAGACTTTAAAACTCCTCTTAAACTGCTTCAATTTGTCCCACTCATTCACTAGAAAATTTTCCTTTTTATTATTTTTTTTCCTTTTTATTCTTTAAAGACTTTTTAAAGTAGTCTCTGCACCCAACATGGGGCTCAAACTCAAAACCCTGAGATCAAGAGTCACACGCTCCACCAACTGAGCCAGCTGGATGCCCCTGCTGGAAAATCTTTCTTAGCGGTGGAAGAGGTTGAAGCAAAATAGAGCAGTTGAGTAGGTCTGCCTTTTCTCTGCCATCTGTTAATAGGATGCCATCTTCCTTAAGCTGTGCTTCTCCCTTCTGTTGTTTAGCTTTTTCTAAATATTATTTCACAAAACAGAAATCCTTTAGGGGCCTTTAATATTTATGAAGTTGAGATTACTTAGGATTTGAGACTTGCATATTCTGTATTATGTCACTGAGATGCAAGTTCCCTGAGGCCACGGTACTTGTCTGTGTGCTTCACCACTGTTGGAGCAGGCTGGCATGGAGTAGGTACTCAATAAATACTGTTTACATGCCAAATCCTAATGCCATTTTTGTCTTTATAAATATGAGTTACAAAGAGGACTTCTGTATAGTCCCCCTTGGTTTCTTACGTCCTTTCTCCCATCTCTTCTTTGATAGGATTGATGATAATAGTGTGTTGAGATTTCCTTTTTAGAGTTTTTCATCTTTTTTTTAAACAAAAGATTTTATGTATTTATTTGAGAGAGAGAACACAAGTGGGGGGTGGGAAGGAGTAGAGGGAGAAGCAGACTCCCCAGTGAGTGGAGAGCCTGACACAGCTCCTGATCCCAGGACCCGGGGATCATGAACTGAGCACCACCCAAGTGCCCTGAGTTTTTCATCCTTCTTAAGCCAGATACTCCATTTTTGGTATAAGCCTATATGTTAGTTACCTGTTGCTTTGTAACAAAGGTAAGTGGCTTAACTCACAAAGCTGCAGTCAAGGTGTTGGCTAAGGCTGTGGTCTCATCCAATGCTCCGTCTCCTTCTAGGCCCTCTCACTCAGATACTGACTGAGTTCAGTTCCTTGTGGTTGTAGCACTGAGGGCTTCAGTTTCTTGGTTGTCAGCCAAAGGCTGCCCTCATCTCCTAGAGGCCACCCGCAGTTCATCTCACATGAAGACCCCAACAGAGGACCCCTGTACTTTTCTCAAAGCTAGCAGGGAAGGGAGAGAGTCCATACAACAGCCGTGGTAATCTTTGTAGCTTAATCATGTATCCTGCATCATGGGTCCCCCATCGCCATTGATGTGCTGTTGATTGGAAGCAAGTTCGAAGTCCCACTGCGCTCAAGGAGAGAGGATCCCCCATGGGCAGGAGGTGGGGACCATGGAGGCCACCTTAATTAAGGATCTGTCTGCCATAGCCTGTAAACGTTGTTCATGGACTTTTGTAATGTAATTTCCTGGAAAGTATACTTTCTGAGCGGTAAATCCTTTTTATCTTAATTTCCTAACTTGTTACTGAAGTATTAATAGTATAGATTACATTTTAAAAATAATGGTCCCCCGGTTTAACTCTAGGTTTCTGTTCTCTCTTCTGTGTAATTAAAAATGCTATGGAGTTAGATTTTGCATTTGTAATCTTAAACACAAATTAAGTACAGTATAAATTATATACACAGATGCATATTACTGTCACATACACAAAGCTATGTTTACTGTGCCTAATGGATGATTTTAAGCAATTTGAGGATAATCTTAATTTTACGTAATTTTTCTCCATACCCACTGATTTTAACCATAACTGCCTTGTATCATACAACTACGCCATATCCTGAGATGTTTCCTTTATGTGGATACTGTTCATGGCAAAGAGCTCTTGAGGAAAAGTATATTTGTCTGCTATGACATTACATCAGATATACTTTATTATCTTTTGTTGTTGTTGTTAGAGAACACGCACAAGTATAAGCAGGGGTTTGGGGGAGGAGCAGAGGGAGAGGGAGAAAGAGTCTTTTTATATTTAAAATCTTTATAAAGATTTTTATTTATTTGTGTGTGAGAGAGAGAAGGTGCACAAATAGGAGGAGCAGGCAGAAGGAGAGAAGCAGGCTCCCCACCGATGGGGGACTCGATCCCAGGACCCCTGAGATCATGACCTGAGCTGAAGGCAGATGCTTAACTGAGTGAGCCACCCAGGTGCCACCTACTTCATTATTTTTAATCTGCTCTTCTGATAGCCTGTTTCTTAGCCTTCCAATTAAGAGGCTATGTATTTAGTTGTTTTTTAAAAGATTTTATTTATTTATTTGAGAGAGAGAGAGAGAGAGCGAGCCCAAGTAGGGTGGGGAAGGGCAAAGGGAGAGGGACAAGCAGATTCCTCACGAGCAGGGAGCCTATGTGTCCCTCACCCCAGGACCCTGAGATCACGACCTGAGCTGAAGGCAGATGCATAACCAACTGAGCCACCCAGGCACCCCTAGTTTTTATTTATTCCTCGTGTCCTATTCATCATTTCATTTAATTTTCTTTACTACACCTTCTCATTTCTGTTATGTCTTTCTTAGAGTACAGCTATTCATTTTCTATGCACCTTTCCCTGGGTCAAGCCTTCGAATGAGAGTTCATTCATGTTTGTAGACAAAACACTGAAGTATTGGGTCTTAATATTTAGGAGGTAGTTGATGGTAACTTATTTGATAGCAAGTAGATGGTCACCGTCTATCATTTTAGGCTTCTGTTCCTGTACCCTTTTTTCCTGCCCTTCTTGAAAGCATTATACCATCTTCCACTTTATTCCCTGCCTCTGAATTCAGAAGACCACATCTTTTGTGAATTCGGAGGTTTCTTTCATTTTTATTAATTGTTTAGAAGGCTAGCTAATACCATGTATTATGTCCAGGTACCAAAATTACATTCTTATTTCAGATGACTGTTCTTAATCTACCTTTTATTTTCTTATATTGAGTTTATTTTTTTGCTTATAGGCAAACATTCCTATCTATATACTCCTGATAACCAAATTCAAAATAATTTTCTTCTGGAGCTTTGAGAGTGGCTTTATGTAATTTTTTTCTTTTGTTTCAATCAAAGTGATGCCCTCTGGCTCATGACCAGTTACTTTTCATGAAAACCTTGATATTCCTTTTGCCAAAACAAATTGCTTCCTCTCCAAAAAAAAAAAAAAAAAGTATCTAAGCATATAGTGTACTGCCTCTTCAGTGGAAATGAGGTTTGTCAGTATTTGGTTTCCCAAAGTATAAAGTTCCACTAGCTGATAACCACAAAACCATTACGCTAGACTTGTAGCCCAGCAGCTGTTTGAAGTTCATTAGTTTACTTACCTGAATAAAAACTAGCATTTAGACTCAAAACCTGTTCATCTGACTCCAAATCGTATGTTTTCTTCCTTATTGCCACAGCCTCGTCCCCCACCTTCCCATCCCTTAGTGATTTTGTTGAATAATGACTTTGTAGTTAGCTTTTTTGCTCACTTTTTTTTTGTTGCTGTTGCTTGATTGAGGAACACTGGGTGTTATACACAAACAGTGAATCATGGAAAACTACATCAAGGACTAGTGATGTAGTGTATGATGAATAACACAATATCATCATCATCATATACTGTTAGAGGAAATGTTTTTGAAAAAAACTTCTAATATGGCCTCTCCTAATAACTCGAGAGATGAGGCGGAAGTGTTTTCTGGGTGATGATCTACTTCATAGTTCGACAGCAGTCCATAGAACAGCAGATTGGATAGGTTCAAGGGTGTGCTGGAGGGCTCACTTCTTTGCCCTCTCTCATGAAAAAACTTCTCTAATGACCTAGGTAAAACTATGTTTGCATTAGTAGACTTCATTTATGATACTTGTCAAGGCACCAAAGTTCACATTTTTAAATGGTATCCATCTTGGAGTGTCATGCATTAAGAAATGCTCAAAAAAATCTTACAGTAGTAACATACATTCTCTCTGGGCTTCCTTTTCTTCTGTAGGGTTCTGTAGCTATAGCTGGTGCTGTTATTCGCTGGCTAAGAGACAATCTTGGAATTATAAAGACCTCAGAGGAAATCGGTGAGTATGTTCTAACAAAACAGAATCTAAAGAATGAAAATTTTTAATATTTTACCTTTGCACTCTGTTAGTACTTGTACTTTGAGCCGTGTGTGACATTAAATGATACAGATTCCCATTATGAGTTGGATTTATACATAAAAGACTATTTTGTGAAGATTTGGAAGACAACAGATTGATATAATTAGTGGTGACTCTTAATAAACTGGCAAGGTAGGGCATAAAAATTACTCACATAATTTGAACAGTGAAGATGGCCAGAGTTTGCAGGTAAAGTAGTCCAGTTAACATTTACCTGGTGAGAAAGAACTTTAAGTCTCAGACTGAGCAGTAAAACCCTGGTGCCTATCGTTTAACTATTAATATGACTATTTTTAGTACGGATAATTATTTTTGAACTCCTCTCCCCACTCTTTCATCTACTTCTTTACATCAGCCTGAAGGTGAAACAGTCAGAAATACACTTCTTACTGGGGCTGCACTGGAGACTACTTCATCTCGTAGTCAGCCACTTTAGAAATAGTGGAAATGAGTCAAAATACCTGAATGAAATGAGTCCAGTTCCTTTATTTCTTGGCCTGGGTTACACTGTAGTGGGAGGTGTTCAATGTGGGGAAGTTTGCTTCTGTTGCTCCTAGCTTACGTCTTTCATTCGGAACATTTTGCTGTACTAGTGAATAAGAAATCAAAAGCCCAATCCTAATTTTTTATGCAGATGTGTTTATTGATTAATAGAATATTTTAGAGTGACTTTTATTTCTCTCTCTCTTTTTTAATACTAGAAAAACTTGCTAAAGAAGTAGGTACCTCTTACGGCTGCTACTTCGTCCCCGCGTTTTCCGGGTTGTATGCACCTTACTGGGAGCCCAGTGCAAGAGGGTAAGAGTTGAATATGAGATGTCCTTTTACAGGTCTTGATTTATTTACTAAATTAGCTAATAGCTAATTGGCCACTAGTTTCCTGTCTATTTCCAAAAGATTTTCAAGTGTTGAGGAAACCTTTTCTGTTTGGAGAGCATTAATTTCAGAACCTTTAAATTGCAAGAAGTTAGAAATCATCTGACAATAAGCCCCTGCCACATCCATGTTAGTGTTGTGATCTTTTTTCTTCAAGGCCTCTGCCAGTCATGTGTCCAGCGGACATCATCCAGATGAATTTTAATTTGGTGTTACATTATTGTCTTATGTTCATTTGGATCCTGGACTTTTTCCTGTGTGGATGCAAGATTGTGGACCAGAAGAACTTTCTAAGCTGCTCAGTGTTTATGTCCAGTTTTTTTTTTAATGTGCATTTTCCCCCTGACCTTGTCTGTCTACCAAGGTCAACCTTTCCATATTCAGGAAATTTCAGATTGATGACTCGTATACTCCACTCTAATCTTAAAAATCTTCGTGTGTATTTTTAGGATCATCTGTGGGCTTACTCAGTTCACCAATAAATGCCATATTGCTTTTGCTGCATTAGAAGCTGTTTGTTTCCAAACCCGGGAGGTAATAAAGGCTTTTTTTCTTGTACTTCGTCCACTTTTATCACTTTCAAATGAATTCTATATTAATGCTGGAAATTTATTACATGCTTCATTATTAAATACCTAATCAAAAATTAAGCCTTCCTAAGGTCTCTTCTAATAAATACAAGTTTCTCCCCTTTTTCATAGCTGTCATGACCTTCTGAGTTCCTGTCATCTGCCAGGGGCTGAGTGTTTTACAGTTGGGGGAATATTGAGTAGTAAATGTTAGGTAAAGGAAATAGTAGCACAAACATAGGCATCAAGGCAAGAAACCAGGGTGCAAAGTTGGGGTTTTGGGCATGGCTGGCTCTTTGGGTGAGGGCGGAGGTGTAGTGAGGAAGAAAGGTGGTATAATATATGAAGGAAGGCTTGGAAGACCAGAATAAGACATCTAAATTTGAGGGGCGCCTGGGTGGCTCAGTTGCTTAAGTGGCTGCCTTTGGCTCAGGTTGTGATCCCAGGGTCCCAGTATCGAGCTGTGTGTTGGGTTCCCTGCTCAGTGGAGAGCCTGCTTCTTCCTCTCCCTTTGCCCACCGCTCTATTTGTATTCTCTCTTTCTCTCTGTGTCAAATAAATAAATACGTTTATTAAAACTTTTTTAAAAAAATCTAAATTTGATTCTATAGGCTTTGGGAAGCTCTTCAGGGTTTTTGGGTAGAAGACTGCCATTTTCAGAGATGTCACCATGGAGCAGTAGTTTAATTACATTTATTGCATTGTTTTATTTAAGATTTTGGATGCCATGAACCGAGACTGTGGAATTCCACTCAGTCATTTGCAGGTAGATGGAGGAATGACCAACAACAAAATTCTTATGCAGCTGCAGGCAGACATTCTGTATATTCCAGTAGGTTAGTAAGCCTTCATTCCTTTACATTCTGAGGGTAATGTTTCTTTCAGAAGAAGTGGTATTTTTAGGCATATGTAACTGCAAAGATGTTGATATTGCCGTCTTCCCTCAGTGAAGCCTTCAATGCCCGAAACAACTGCCCTGGGAGCGGCCATGGCGGCGGGGGCCGCAGAAGGAGTTGGCGTTTGGAGTCTCGAACCCGAGGATCTGTCAGCGGTCACAATGGAGCGGTTTGAACCACAGATCAATGCTGAAGGTATGTTTAAAAAATGAAAACTTAGGGGGGCCCGGCTGGCTCAGTCAGTAGAGAAACACGCACCTCTTGATCTTGCGGTCATTGGTTTGAGTTCCATGTTGGGTGGAGAGATGACTTAAAAATAAAATTTCTTTTAAAATTTTAATGTAATGGTATACCATGGAAAGGAGAGAGAGTTTGCCTTTCTGTTTATAGATGAGTTCAGAAACTAAGTAAAATAGCAAATGCTACTGTCTTAGATTGGTTACTAAGAATATTGGGGTACACTGCGTATGAATAGTTTCTTCTTATTAAAAAAACTTCCAAAATCACTTTCTTTGCCATTCACTTCTGTTTACAGTCATTTCATGCAGAAGGATAACACTGCTTCTAGCTTGCTAACACAGCCTTTTTTAAACTAAGAAGGGAGATAGATGAGCCACGGAGCTGAACGTCTTTGGTGCCTGCCAGGGTTTTTTTTGTTTGTTTGTTTGTTTTTGTTTTTGAGGAGCCCTTGGTTTTTTATATTTTCTTCAATTCTTATTTTTTAAAATTATCTTTATTAACATATAATGTATTATTTGTTTCAGGAGTACAGATCTGTGGTTCATCAGTCTTAGACAATTCACAGCACTCATCATAGTACATACCCTCCCCAGTGTCCAACCCCCAGCCACCCCATTCCCCCCTCCACTGCCCCAGAAACCTTCACTTTGTTTTGTGAGATTAAGAGTCTCTTATGGTTTGTCTCCCTCCGGATCCCATCTTGTTTCATTTTTCCCCTCCCTTCCCCTATGATTCTCTGTCTTATTTCTCAACTTCCTCATATCAGAGAGATCATATGTTAATTGTCTTTCTCTGATTGACTTATTTTGCTCAGCATGATACCTCTAGTTCCATCCACGTCACTGCAAATGGCAAGATTTCATGGAGTTTTTTGACGGCTGCATAGTATTCCATTGTAGATATATACCACATCTTTTTTTTTTTTTTTAATACCACATCTTCTTTATCCATTCATCTGTTGATGGACATCTAGGTTCTTTCCATAGTTTGGCTATTGTAGACATTGCTGCTATAAACATTCGGGTGCACATGCCCCTTTGGATCACTACGTTTGTATCTTTAGGGTAAATACCAGTAGTGCAATTGCTGGGTCATAGGGTAGCTCTATTTTCAACTTTTTGAGGAACCTTCATGCTGTTTTCCAGAGTGGCTGCACCAGCTTGCATTCCCCCAACAGTGTAGGAGGGCTCCCCTAGATACCACCTCACACCAGTCAGAATGGCTAAAATTAACAAATCAGGAAATGACAGATGTTGAGGAGGCTGCCAGCTAGTTTTAACACATGATTAGCCGGGCCTAAGTGGCAACAGTGTGAATAAATGAGCCTCAAATACCCGATTCACTGCCCTAACCAGCTAAGCTAAGCCACAGGCTCTGACCAACACCTTATTAAAATACGGTGGTGCATTTTTTCCCCCAGTGGTGCATTTCTTAAACGGAAATAAATATGAATGCAAAAATAAGGCTTTATATATATTGAATTTGATTTTATAACTTTTTAAAAACCGGTGTATAAAACTGCATCAAAGTAGATTTTGCACTACTGGGAAATAAGCTTTCAAATGCATTTCTCTTTAATTTTCTGGAAGACTAAGCCAGCACTGCCTAATTTTAGTCCTTCCCACATGCAAGAAAGTAGATTGTAACACTAGTAATTTTACAGTCAGAGAGTATACCATGTAACTTGATGTAGAAATGTATTTCAAAATCTGATACTCTATCTGTAAGTAATTTTTACTTTTTAATATTGGATTAAATGGGGCTCCAAAAATTCTCTACCACTGGAAAAAAATGAATTTTTTAAAATAAACAACGTTTAGAGTGAGTATATGGTCTCGTGATGCTAATGCCATTCTTAAAGCAAGGAAGTTTTGTGCGGAAGTGTTTCCTGATTTCTGAGGACAGCCTTCTTTGCCTTTTTTTAAGGCCTTAGCCCAGAGTTGGTCAGTCATGTCATCTGTCCTTCCCTTCAACAGCCCCACTCCTCTCCGCATAACACCCACATACACACAAACACACACGTGTGAGATGGGTACCTAGGTGTAAATAATTCATTCTCTAGCAAACTTCTTTTAGAGCCCCGTACAGGCCAGAAATTGACCTGATGTGGGAATATAGAGATGCCCTTCAGGAGACTCATGTATGTTGGGAGAGGCAGATAAGGCCATGACAGTTCACTGTGGTGGCTCATAGCCTCAGATGTGTGGGAAGTGCTGTGGGAAGACCGAGGAGGGACATTAGTGGGGCCCTGGAAAGCTTTCTGAAGTGAGTGATGCTGGAGCAGTGTTGCCCAGGTGTCACAGGCGTCAGGTGCTGTGGAAAGACCAGGAAGCCTGACAGGGATACCTTCCTCCATGCCTCACTGTTACTAGGAGGAGTACATGTGGATGGACACACCAGTGGTGCCTGTTTTTATTTAGTCCTCTTACTGTGGATTTCCATGGTAAAAAAAAAAAAAATAATCCTGTCTCACAGGAATGCAGTTTGAATCTTGTGAGAAATCAATACTTGTTAAGTCCTTTGACTAGACCAACTAATAATTCTTCTTCTAGTCTTCCCACATTATAGTATACCCTTTCCCTGTACCCCAAACTTCCCCTGCTTCCTCCCCACAAGAAAGAGCAAACAGATCCAATGGGAATCCCTTTCTAATCCATCACCACTTGTTTGTGAATGGCCTGCCTGGTCTTCATAGATAGCCTGGCTCCCAGTCTCCCTTTACCCTGCATGCGACGCTGAATTTCTCCTCCATTTTCCAGTAGGTATCTCTCCCAAACCTGAGTTCTGGTAAAGCCCCATGCCAGTTGAATGCGTCACAATTTGTTGAAAATGCTGAGTGAACATAAGTACGGTGCTTAGACTATCTCTGTAAACTACTTTTCAGATGTGTGTTTTTCCTACCTTCTATTTCTAGAAAGTGAAATTCGTTACTCTACATGGAAGAAAGCTGTGATGAAGTCAGTGGGCTGGGTTACAACTCAGTCTTCAGAAAGTGGTAAAAATGTTTTTATTATTCTTGTACTTTGCCCTAGTGTGTTAATTAACTTCTTTAAGTATCTAACCATTTACACTTAGTAAGGCTGCCCTGAAGAAAAGCATTATCATATGTCCAGAGTTTCTAACATTTTGAAAACACTTTAAAGTTCTAAACATAAAATGTAAATTATGAGATAGATACATACTTAATTCTATCCTGCCCTCTCTTTTCCTTATTAGTTTCCTGGTACTTCAGTGGGTAACTGAGCTTTCTAAAAGTAAAATTATTTCTTTCTTCTCAATGAAAAAGAAAATCAGAGTTTTCCTTTTTTTATTTTTTTTTCACTCAAGTGTCTCCTTTTACCTTTTTGGGGGGCTGTCTTCATAGCCTGAACTAACCAAAACTTAGGTTAATTTCAGAATATATTTCTCTACTTCCTAGGCTGATTCCAAGTTCTTAGTGAATGTACATTATGAGAACTCATTGGAGTCAGAGAGGAAGAAATGTACCAAATAGTGAATTAGAAGTATCATAATAGATTGGGAAATATTGGCAGAAAATAGAGAACTATTTTTTTCAGTCACTTAAGTAGGAAGGCATTGGGCTTAAGTAAACCATTCAGTCAGACAGCCTTAACCTGCCTTTACTATGCACTTGATAATTAAACAGACTTAAACGTGCCTTTAATATGCCATAATATTTAAATTCTTTGCTAAGTGAAGATTTAGAATGTAATAAATAGAACAATGTCCAATAATGTACAGAAATATACAGTTTAATGGAGAAGAGTTTACAAATGAAATATTACCTGCCTTCCAACCCAAAATTGGATATAGAATTACTTTTAATGTATTTGGCTTTTGGGAGATACTTCTGGAACCATCCATTACCACAGATCACTGATCTATATTTTTAGTCCTGGATGTTCCTACCTGAAGCTTTTTTTCCTCCGAAATAAGCTTAATATCTTTTTTCTTTAAATCTGTTTAGTTTTCTTTCCAAGTTGGTGGCAAAGCTTTTCTTACTAAGACCTTTTGTGATTTTGAGACCCTTTATAACAAAACTTCTTGATCATAAGTTCTCCTAGCCTGGTGCTAGTTGCTTGCAAGATACAACAACGTGGACCCTGATTTATTTTCTAGTTGCCCTTAATCAATGGCTAATGAGCAGTGGAGTCCTGTTTACGTTGACTTGGTGGATTTTTTTTTAAATGGCACAGTCATCCCTTTGTCCCTCCCTGCACCCAGTGTGACACACACACACACACCTTACTAGCTAGCAGTTGAAGATCAAATTTTAACTGCAAAATTCCCATAAAACCAATTGGTCATTTTCAGTTTGTTTGTCTACCTTACTCTCAGTGAATTTAAAACATAAGAAAAATTAATGAAAGAAAATTGCACGATTTCTTTAGTTTCTGCTGTTGAGTTTTAGATTTTTCATGTTTTGTTTTTGTTTCAGACTGCAGTGCATTTAAGAGTTTGAAGACATTCTTTAGTAGATTTTTGAAACACACTCTAATGTATAATATTGAGTCTCTAGGCTCTATAATAAACTCAGACTTATATTCAATTAGTGACATGCTTATTGTATTTCTTTAAGCAGTGTAAACTATATATAACAGTAACAGTACAGATAGAATCCTATTTTAATAATCTTGAAAGGATATTAGGATTGCTACCTGGTCTCTCATGCTCCTTAAATTGCTTTAATTTTTAAGGAAAACACTATGTTAGCTTAATTTCCAAAACAGTTTACCAATCAGTCATATTTATTTTCTTATTTCTAACTATATTTGAATATTTTGTAAACAATGTTTAATACACATTCTGACACATGTTTAAAATGTTGTAGAAGTGATTGGGAGTCTGATACTTTTTAGAGAGAGCTCATCATAGATGATAAGCTTGGCTTTGCACTCCAGACACACCAAAACAGCATTTTAGAAACAGGTCAAATTGGTTTAAAATGCACAGCTAGCAAATAATGTGTGTGTGTGTGTGTGTGACCAAAAGGGATATATTTTCATAAAATAAATGCCACCTGTTGCCTAACTGAACACGAGAAAAAAAATACATATAATACAACACAAATTTAAAAAATAAATTTAAATTAATTAAATTTAAAATTAATAATTAATAATGGTTAATAATTAATTAATACCAACTAATTCGGTGAGGACTTGTGAATGCAGGTTGTCCTCAGGGTCTTCTTTGCAAACTAAAACTCGCTGTAGCCATATCAGGAAATTAGTGATTAGAACTTAGCCTAACTGGAAGAAAACAAAAACAAAGAACTTAGCGTAACTGATACCTTGCCCTGAAAGAACAAGAATATGTGTTTCCTTTCTGAGAATCAAATCAAAATGTGGTCTCTACAAATATGGAAACAAAAAGAAACCTTGGTTTTATCTGAAAAATAATATAAGCAGTGGTAAAATGGAGGAAAATGGTTTATATGCCTCTTTTAATCTGCCTTCTAAGGCAAAGAAATATGTGGTGAAGGGAAAAAAGAATCCTCTCCCAAAAAGGCAAATAAATGACTATCCTTAGTTTATTATATCAAAAACTATGCCCATAGCAAATAACTAGCTGCATTTCAGTGAAGCCTTTTCATCCAGTGGTTGTATATTCTTAAAACTTGGAGGTTAATTTTGAATATGCTTCTTTTTTAAAGAACATTAAATAATACAAATATATAATTTTTAAATTCAAGAATACCATATATGCATAAAGAATATTCTTTAAAGGAAGGGATTTTGACAGAAGTTAGGTTAGAAAATACCAGCACAACCATATTTTCAGGCAGTTTTTAAAAAATGTGGATTCATGGGGCTCCTGGCTAGCTTAGTCCGTAGAGCTTGCAACTCTTGACCTTGGGGTCATGAGTTTGAGCCCCATGTTGGGTGTAGTTTACATACGTATGTGGATTTAAAAAAAATTCACGTCTGCCTAGGTGGCTCAGTTAGTTCAGTGCCTACCTTCAGCTCAGGTCATGATCTCAGGGTTCTGGGATCAGAGCCCTTCATGGGGCTCCACACTCAGCGAGGAGTCTGCTTCTTCCTCTCCCTCTACCCCTCCCCCTGCTTGTGCCCTGTCTGTCTTCTCAAATACATATATAAAATCTTCTTAAAAATATATGGATTCATACACTTTAGTTTTTAAGATTTTATTTTTAAGTAATCTCTGCACTCAGCATGGGACTCAAACCCACAACCCTGAGATCAAGAATCGGACACTCCATAGACTGAGCCAGTCAGGCACCCCTGTAATTGGGGGGGCAGTAATAGTAATTGTGAGGTGCATTTCCTTACATAGCACATTCTGGTTAAAAAAGAAAACAAAACCAATTATTTTAGCAAAAATAGCCTTTGAAGTTCATTTTCACTAGACCAGTATAACTCTTCTCTGATAGCTAAAGGATCTCTACTTTGAATTGGGTTGCTCATTTAGTATCTTTGGGGTAAGAATTAAAATAGCAAAAATCAACAGCCTCCCAAAAAGTTCTCCATCAACTCTCTTCAGCTTTGCCAATGGAAGGCTTATGTGGGTTTATATATGTATTATGTTCTTGGCTACCTGTGGCATGCTATCCGTATTGTTTGTTAACTGTCATAAGCCTTCAAGATTGATTATATTTTTGATTTGAAGTAATAACTCTGCTAGCTTTTATGAATATACTGTTTTTATAACTTATTTTGTTTTGCTGTCATGTGATTCTTAACACAAATATTGTAATTATGTGTCTCTCTTTTGGTTTGCTTGACTGGAATTCCCTTCTACTTGGATGACCACAGGTGACCCTAGTATCTTCTGTAGTCTACCCTTGGGCTTTTTTATAGTGAGTAGCATGGTAATGTTAATCGGAGCAAGGTACATCTCAGGTCAGTTACTCTTTAAATTAGACAATTTTATTAGTTAGCACGAATGTATTTGTGTATAACTTGGCAGAAAATGTTTAGTGTTTTTCATTCTTCCTGTGCTTAGGAACCTGGAAAATCCATGAAAGGTCTAATTTGTTAGACCTATTAATCTTTCAGAGCAGTCAGAATTGAGGACTGTGGCTCTGCTTAATTCTTTTATTGTTAGTAAATGACAGTTTCTTTGAGGGGCTACCTTCTGCTGTCAGCTGTGGCAGGAAGCAGAAGTGAAAGTAGTGCTGTGAAAGCTTACATGAAAGGACTTTCAGAGTGACAGATGAATGTTCAAATATAGTTTTTTGACAATTTAATTGGCTCTCAAACGTACGTAACTTCTCCAAACTCAAGAAAACTTGCTATACGAGTCTAAGTATTTCAGTTCTGGTTAAGAGTTTCCACGAGAGTACGTTAGCAGAGTCTCTGGAAAACTCTAAAATCGGGGAACATATATAGTCTCTTTTATTTTAGTTAAAAGAGTATATTTTGTGAGATGAAGTTTTAAAAATGATTGCTAAAATAATAAGAGTTAGACTTAAAACTGAAGTATTTTTTGCACATTAATTTCTGCTCATTAGAAAAATAAAACTACTTAGCATGTTATGAAATACATTGCATAACCTGTGATAATTTAAATGTAATAATCGTTCTGGGGAGCTTTTCCTGATGATAGCTCAATTTTTCTTCCAATTGAGGCTTAAGAGCTTACGTGGCAATGACTTGTCCCATATGTTACCAAGAAAGTGAAATGTTTTTTTCATAATTTTTTCATAATCTTCATAATTAGAGAAAGAGTTCAGTTATTTCTCATAATTAATTAGATGTTGACCTGGGTTTAACATGTAAAATGTACACTTTATTGATAGTGGAAGGAACATCTGATTGTAGAAATCTGGCAAGCCTTAACTTGACGTCATTAATTTAGAGCTCTATGTAAATTTGAAATGAAAAGTATTTACAGTAGCAGAACATTAGATTATCTTTTAATGATAAAATATGAGTTACTTGCCTGAGAGCTTAAAACTAGACTACCATTTTCCATATCCTTCATATTTGGGATCAGTTTATTCAAATCTGCTTTCGTAAAAACAATACCTTATGTTGGTATTAGTGCTTTCACCTTATGAAGGACTTCTGGATGCATAAGTCTATACAGAATTTACAGATGTCTTTTTTCTTTCTGCTTCTTGGGAATGTTTGGTGGAAAAGTACAAATATTGTAATTTTCCAAAATCTCCAAAATGAATATCCAAAAATATTTTCCAAATATTGTGATAATCCAAAAATAAGTAATTTAGGTTTACAAAGAAACTTACAGTGCTCGCTTCGGCAGCACATATGCAAAGAAACGTATGACTTGTTTTAGCAAAAGCTTTATCATTTTTTCATTATCCTGAGTTTTTTTTTTTTTTTTTTGGCTACATAATGATGGTTTGGAAAGGGGAGAAAATATTGCAACTGAATGTTTTCAGTGATTTTTTTTTCCTCCTGTTTCCTCCTTGGTACCATGAGCATGAAAAATCCTACGCTCTCTCAGAATTGAGCCATATAGCTTATCTCTAAGCTAAGGGATACATTATGTGTCTAAATTCCTAGGCTCCCAAATGGATAGGATTACCATCTTTAGGTTCTCTCTCTTGGTAACATATGCTGAGATTCGAGAACAGTGGGAATCGCTTGCCTTGATAAACAATTAACAATAGCGTTAATATTTGCTAATTTTGGAGTTGGCCTAGTTATATTTGTTTGCATTTTAACTGAAGCCAGTATTTAGAAATAATGTGCAATGTGTAGCTCCAATGATTGAATAGACTTCATTGCCTCAACTCATAAATTGCGTGTATGTTGTTACTGATACATGTGGTTTTTGTCCCTCGTTTTAGGTATCCATAAATGATACCAACTCACGGATTCCAAAGATGCGAGCTCTTTGCCTAATGAGAGAATCCAGCGATTGTCTCCTTAATGTGATGACACTATTCATAGACTCTGATTTTATTTATAAGCCACTTGCTGCATGACCCTCCAAGTAGACCTGTGGCTTAAAATAAAGAAAATGCAGCAGAAAGAATGCTATAGAAACATTCGGTGTGTTTTTTAACATCATGAGTTAAGATTGGACCAGCCACCTTGGGGGCTGACCCCTCCTTTGCCATCGTGTCCTGCCCCATTCCCTATGAGATCTAGGAAGAATTCAGGTCCTTCATTTCATTGGAACCTTTCATCAAACACACTCAAACGCTGATGATGGTCTAGGATTTGGTTCTCTGCACTACACACACTTGACTAAGGGGTGATTACTAACCAGCTAAAAATGAGTGGCTTTTTGTTCCATTTCTTTTTAACAGTCCCTAAAAGTCCTTTTTTCTGCATATTAAGGAGGCCACAACATCTTCCCCGAATGGTTAAATGGACACCTCTATGGAATTCCTAAAATGCAAATTGAGTACTCTCATAGTTTAGACATTTTCCAGAAAGGTATTTGCCAAAACTGAAATTCTTCAGATACTTTACGTGGTCTCACTCATTCACTGAATTGCTGTCTGGATCTTCTAGGGAAGGACACTTTTTCCTTTCTTTTTTCATCTCTCCTTTTTATATTTTTCACTTGGTATGTATAACATACATGCCTATATATATTTTATATAGCGAGGGCAGCCCATTTATAAATCAAGAGGACATTTTACATGATCTCACTAATACAATGAATATCTGTCTGGATCTTACAGGGAAGAACACTTTTTCTTTTCATCTCTCCTTTTTATATTTCTTAATTGTATGTCTAACATACATGCCTATATATTTTATATACAGAGGGTAGCCCATTTATAAATTCAGAGCACATTGTATTCAGTAGGTTATAATGGGGCTGGTCTTAAGTGGACCACTGTGTGTATAAATATTTTGGGGAAATCACTGTAAACATTTTGGGGCAACGGTTATGCATATTTACAAGGAGAAACTTTTTCTTAAGAGAGCCAGCATTTAAAGTTTAAGTATATGTTCTTAGTCAATAAAAGAAAATGTACTTTATCGTGACTTCAGCTATATTTCTTACACCATACCTTTTTATTTAATTGTTTTAGCTGGATATATGTCTTTAAAAAAAAGGAAAAAGACAAAATTGTGGAATACTATGGTAAATATTGTTTTCAAACAAGCCCTAGTCCATATAAAGTTATCTTCCTTTGACACAATTTTAGAAATATTTGGGATTGTTTAGAGGGAATAGCAAAAAAGGTTAAACACTGAAGTAGAAGAAAACCTTAGGAATAAAGCCAAGAATCTCTTTGTATCCAAATGTGTTATTAGTTGCTTGTAAGCAAGTACAATTTCTATTTGGGATCACAGAGACTTATCTCCATTACTGTCCTAATACAACTGAAGAAAGGTTTGCAATTAGAAATGGCTTCCAGTGAAACCAAGAATTTCTCAAAATAGTATTACATGTTATAAAAACGTACCTAATCCAGCATCTTAATGTCAATTTTTTTTAAATCCTAAAATTAATTTCTGTTTACTACAAATAAAATACTATCTCCTAATATTTTCTTCAACCAGTGCTGAAAATGGGGAAATATTTATATATTAGTATAAAAGGTCTTGTTTTGTTTGGCATAAATGGTGGCTTGCATTTGCAGTTCTGATTATGCTGTTTCTAAATTATTCAATCTACTTGGGTTTTATTGCTGCAGCTGCCACTTGAGTGACAAAAATATTATAGAAAGGTACTGTGAAATTATTACTTTGTGATGAGGGTACTTTTAAACATAATTATGTTTCTATGAAATCAGTTAATTGTAAATAATTGTTAAATCACTGTTCAGATAATTTTAAGATTCCATTAATTTTCTATAAATTGAAATATTTATAAATGTTTGGAACTGTGCATATTGGTATTTAATGGTAAAATGACTTAAAATAAATTGACCCCTCATTCTTACTTGCATTTCTCATTTATAGACTAGAACTTAAAATCAAGGTTAAATCCAGAAGGATGTTTCAGGAAACATAAAGCTCAGCTGTTAGCACTTGATCAGGCACACTCTGAAACTAACCAAGAGCCTAAGAAGTAGTTTCTGAAATGGTGAGCACCTTAGTCATTCTATTGGGAAAGACTACACTGTTCCATCTCAGCATCCAGAAAATAACCGGTGAGGTCAGAAATCATGATCACTTAGGGCCTCTTGTGCTAGCCATGCCTTTCTACTGGTTTCTTTCTGTTCTATCTGGGTTTGCTGATGGAGTCAAGTGTGCCATTATTCTCTCAACCTGATGGCCAAAACTTCAATCTTTTGTTCTTTAGTTAATCTGTAAAAGAAGTAAATGCATCTTTGCTTCTGTAACAATATCTTAGAAATTTTAGTGTTTCTTTTGAAATGCCCAAACTTAATTCTTTGCTTTTTGGGTGTTTTGTATCATGTTGGGAATGAAAAATGCTAGGTATTTTTGAGAAACCAGCAGAAAAAGATGTCATAGCCCAGAAACTAACAGCACCGATGGTAGAGTAGGTAGCATTTAACTCATAGTGTCTACCTAATGGTAAATAGAAGTACAAACATTATTTTTACAGCTTTAATGAGCTATAAAATTGATACACAGAGAACTGCACGTATTTAATGTATACACTTTGAGGAGTCGGGACATATGCCAACACCCATTATACCATCACCACAATCATGGTAATAAACAAATCCATCCCCTCCACAGGTTTCCTTGTGTCCCTTTGTTTTGTGTGTGTGTATGGTAAGAATGCTTAACGTGAGCTCTACCCTCCTAATGCATTTTTAAATGCACAGTACCATGTTGTTAATTGTAGACGGCACATTAGACAGCACATCTCTTGAATTTACTCTTCTTACATAACTAAAGCTATTGAACAGCAACTCTGCTTTCCCCCAATCCCTGGTAACCACCAACCTATCCTCTATTACTGTGAGTTTGACATTTTTGTTTCCTGTTTTGATTCCACACATAAGTGAGATTATGTGTATTTGTCTTTCCGTGTCTGGCTTATTTCACTTAGCATAATATCTTCCAGGTCTAGTGATGTTGTTGCAAATGGTAGGGTTTCCTCCTTTTTTGAGGCTAAATAATATTTCAGTTTGTGTGTGTGTTGTGTACACACACACACAACACATATCACATTTTTTTATCCATTCATCTGTTGAAGGACCTTTGGGCTATTTCCATATCTTGGATGTTGTGAATACTGCTGTGGTGAACATGGGAGTGTAGATAGTTCTTTGAGATCCTGATTTCCATTCTTCTGTGTAAATACCCCGAAGTGGGATTATTGAATCCTAGAGTAATTCTTTTAGTTTTTTAAGGAATGTCCATACTGTTTTCCATAGTGACTGTACCATTTTACGTTCCTACCGACAGTGTAGAAGGATTCCAGAAATTATTTTTTACTAACTTTCATAGCGTATTTTAACTAAAAACACTGAAATAATGAAGTCTACTTGACGTTTGTTTTTGCAACCTAACAACCTTTTTTTTTTCCTGACAACTTTCAGGAGGTCATGTAATAGTTGGAAAACTGAGTGACTCTGAGGGCACCTGGCTGGCTCGGTTGGCAGAACCTGCAGCTCTTGATCTCAGGCTTGTGAGTTTGAGCCCCATGTTGGGCAAAGAGCTTACTATAATAAATAATAATAATAACTGTTTAAAACCTCTTTTTAAAAAAGATTTCATTTTTTTAAAGTAATCTCAACCCAGTGTGGGACCCAAACTCACAACCCTGAGATCAAGAGTCACATACTTCGACTGAGCTGGCCAGGCACCCTGAAAACTGACTTTTAAATCCACTGGATTACTACTTGGCCTGTACTTTATATAGCTACTTATCTTAATTCCTGTTTTATGATAAAATACTAGATATGCTAAACACCATAGAGAAAAAACTTTCCTGAGGTTTTCCTTTAAATCCCATTTAGTGAAAATGACCCATTAAATTATGTGTGGGGACTATAAAGATAAATACTCTAAGAAGCAGAAAGTAGGTTCAAAACAGGTTGCTCAAGGGGTGCCTGGCTGGCTCCGTTGGTGGAGTGTACTGCTCTTAACAATGTTAGAGTTGTGAGTTCAAGCCCCATGTTGGGTATAAAAATTACATAAAAATAAAATGTTAAATAAAATGTTAAATAAAAAATAAAAATAAAAAATAAATTGGTACAATCACAGAACAGAATATGTGTAGCTTTAGAAAAGAATGATACTGTAGAAACATGGAAACTATCCAGGAAAAAATGAAAGCAAGGTGCAGAGGAGTGCATAAGTGTGCTCTTTCTATTAAAAGAAAAGCGAGGACGTTTGCCTATGCTGTGAGGACATCTTAAGGAGCTGTTAATAGTGTTTACTTAGTAGGACAGAAAGTAGTGATAATCGGACATGTGGGAGACAAGGGTGAGAAAAACCTTTTCACTGTTTATATCTATTTGAACTACATTAATTGTTAGCATATGTAATCTTGAACCATGTTAATGTATTAGTTGTTTATAAATCTAATTTAAGGGGTGCCTGATCTCAGCCCAGGTCTTAATCTCAGGATGGTGAGGTTAAGCCCTGCATTGGGCTCCATGCTGGGCATGGAGCCTACCTAAAAAAAAAAAATCTAACTTAAATTTCTGAATTTAAATTCAGAAGTCATTGTACATGAGTGTTCATGCCATCATTATTCATAATAGCCAAAAAAGAGGAAACAAGCTGTTGATGAATGGACAAATCAAAGGTGGTATAGCCATACGGTGGAATATTATTCAGCTATAAGAATGAATAAAGCACTGATAACATCCATGTTGTAACATGATTGAGCCTTAGAAACTATACAAAGTGAAAAAAGGACACAAAAGCCACATATCATGTGATCCCACTTATAGGAAATGCCCAAAATAAGGAAATTCATAGAGGGACAAATGGTTATTAGTTGCCTGAGTCTGGGTTGGCGGGGAAGGGAACAGAGAAGAAATTGCTAATGGGTATGAGGTTTTGGTGGAGGGGGGTGAAGAAAATGTTCTAGGATTAGTGGTAAATGTCGTACAACTCGGTGAATATACTAAAACTCACTGAATTACACACTTTAAAGGGGTGCATTTATGGCATATGTATTATATCAATGAAATATATAATGTTACGAATTCAGATGTTGTAAGTTAGTTACCCACAGGCAAATTCAGCCCACAGGCTTGTTTAAAATAACAAAATTGTTTTTAATTTGCATTAATGTAAAGTCAGTGTATGACCAGTCCCTGATGGGATGTGAGTTCGTAATCTCTGAAATGAGCCCTCAGAAGGAAGGCTCCTTGAAAAAATGGAGGTTAGTAAATTTAACTTTTTTTCTTCCACTTCCATTAACGTTTTCGAGTATCTAATATTGGAAATAAGGGAAATGATTTAGTCACTAATACATAAAAGATTGCAATGAAATGGAAGATCTGGCCTTCTATTCACCTTCCCCAGAGGTTTCCATGGATGGTCTGTCCAATAGAATGTATTCTATACTAATATTATAGGATGCGTTTAACCTGCTTCCCCCCAAAGCCTTGATAAATAAAGAGGCAGTCTTCCAAAAGTGTTACCTAAAATATATTGCCATAATTATCAGTAACTTGATTTTTCTCTAACTGGATCCCTTCAATGGTGTCATGTCTTAAGATTCTAAACAGTTCTTTTTTTAAAAAAAGATTTATTTATTTGAGAGAAAGAGTGCAGAGGGAAGTGGAAGAGGAAAGGGAAAGAATCTTAAGCAGACTCCGTACTGAGCGCAGAGCCCAACCTCACGGCCCTGAGATCATGTCCTAAGCCGAAACTAAGTGGGACGCTTAACTGATTGGCACAACCCACGAGCCCCAGGTTCTAAACAGTTTAATTTCATATGTTCATTATCTCCCCATACTGTTTCTCTCCAAACTGTTTAAACCTTCAGCCCTTTGCTGATTTACCACCACAGTTTCTTAAAGGAAGAAACAATAGGTCCGTTTGTACTATACCTGTTCAGCTCATTGTAAATTGAATTCAAAGAACAGTGAATATTTGCGGGTTC